ACCAAGTCACGTGTGTGTGGTCAGAAGGTACTTTTGACATTGAGTTCTGTCCATATAGAAACAGAATGAATAAATGAACTTTTTTCTTTTTTAAGCAAAACATTAAGTGAAAGATTCAATTTGGTTCTTCTGGGGTTTGGGGAAGGGGTTGAAAGTAGAGGGTCACTTTGCAGTCATCACCTGTACCATTCTTCATAGTTGACTGTCCGTCTCCATCAGTATCTGCTTCTCTGATTATATCATCTACTTCTTCATCCGTAAATTTTTCTCCTAAGTTTGCCTTGACCTGACCTAGGTTTGCTGCACTGATGTGACCACTGCTATCCTTGTCACAGACTCCCTAACGCCTGGCGAACTTCTTCTTCACTCTCTGTGCCTTTCATTTTCTTGCCCTCATAGTGAAAGCTGCTGGGGAGTCAGTGGCGCCGTCATCAGTCACCATCCGCGTCCCCTTCATTGATCACATCCTGCAATTCAGCAGCTGTTGGGTTTCTGAGCCGGTGACCTCGTGACAACTGCAAGTTCCTTTGCTGCGATGGTGTCATCGCCATCCTTATTGGGAGACACTTTCTTAAATTCAGCAATCTGTTCTTCTGTTGGCTGAGCAGCCCTGGTGCCAGCGAAGGGAACTAGAGCAGAGGGAGCGAGGGTGTCTGTGCCCGGCAGGGCGGTGGCGGCAGCGCCTTTGCGGCTGCTGCTGCAGCTAAAGCCGCGGTGCGCGGGGGCCCCGCCTGACTGCGGGTAACGTGTAACGGTGCTGCGTCTGTGGGACCCCCACCCAGCACTGCTTGGAACTATCCTTGATCCTCTCGTAATCCTTATAATATGTAGAATTTCTCTTTTATACAAATTTTTCATATACTTGAAAAAGCTGGCATTATGTGCTTGCCTAATTGAGAATGAAAATAAATACCGAAAGATATAAATTATCTGAGAAACGTGGCCTTAAGTATAGCCCATACTTTATTTATACTGGAATAATAATTACAATATAATTATAGCAGCCTGGCTATCATACCCATATTTGTAAATATATCTGTCCATCTACACACACACATATATAACTTGTATGTTTAATTTGAAATTTTTAATATATTTTCTCACTCTTTCATAAAAGTTTAGCATATTGTTGGATATTTTCAAAGAATTTTATCCAGACTTTTCATAAATATTAAAAAGAAAACTTGGACTTTTCTCTGCATTGTAAGCTTGTAACTTATTTTATTTTTCTCAATTATATTACCTTATAAATTTATAACTTAATTCTATAAAATTTTTTAATTTTTTTCAAAATTTTGTCCAAAAAGCTTTTTAAAATTCTTCCTATTTTGTATATCAGATGTTTTTCTGCATCTTGATTGAGGTGTAAGGGATATAGAATAAACAGAGCCTATATAAATTTGTTGAATTTTGACATATGTATACTGCCATGAAAACATCACTATAACCAAGGTAATTTACATATTCCAAACTCTTCAAAGTTTCCTCTTGTTTCTATGTAACATATGGGTCCTGCCCTGCACCTGTAGCTCAGCCAGTAGGGCGCCACTCACGTATACCAAGGCTGGCGGATTCAAGGCCAGCCCAGGCCTGCTAAACAATAATGACAACTACAATAAGCTGGGCATTGTGGCGGGTACCTATAGTTCCAGCTAGTTGGGGGGCTGAGCTTAAGAATTGCTTAAGCCTAAGAGTTTGAGGTTTCTGTGAGCTGTGATGCCATGGCACTCTACTGAGGGTAACATAGTGAGACTCTGTCTCAAAAAAAAAAAAAATGGGTTCTGTCCCTCCATTCCTTCCACAATCATCTCCTTGACACAATCATCTGAATTTTATAGAATTTTATGTAATATAATTATTTAGGTAGTAGTGTGAGAGAGTGTGTATAGCATGGATTCATTAAGGTTTTACTAAAGTTGATTTATCACGTACCTATTTTTCCGTCTCTCTGTCTATCCATTAGGTTTTTGTACTTTTGGTACATTTATAATTAAATATGGTACATTAGTGTACTTTCTCCTGATTACTTTCACATACCTATTATTAACTATAATTCCATATTTGTTTACTGACTTTTTCTGTTAATGTGATACTATGTAGAGTGAAAGGCTGACATTAGCAAGGCAGCAAAATATGGTCCAGGCTCTCAGTCCAAATAAACAGCAACCATGGATGAAAATGGTTTAATAAGACCTCTAAAAGCAAATGAAGAAATTTTCTGAGATCTCTGGAAACACATTAGGAAGTGGCAGCAACCAAGCTGTAGCAAACACTTAACCAAGTAAAAATACAATCAAATGATAGGAAATTCAAGGTGTTTTTATTCTACATTTGCCCTTCCTCCTCCTTGCATGGCTCCCTGCAGAAGAGGATGTCCAGTTCCTGGCTTTTCTCTCAGAGTAGATGGGAAAATATGGAACTGACATGCAATGCTCTGGCCTTTTGGAAGGATTCCTGAGAGACTAGGGTCTGTTTTGCCTTATCTAATAAGCAACTGATAGAAATACTGGCAAAACATAAATATAAAGTTGACTGATAGAAATAGTGGCATAGGCTCGGCACCTGTGGCTCAAGTGGTTAAGGCACCAGCCACGTACACCCAAGGTGGCAGGTTCAAATCCAGCCCGGGCCGCCAAACAACAATGACTGCTGCAACCAAAAAATAGCCAGATGTTGTGGTGGGCGCCTGTGGTCCCAGCTACTTGGGAGGCTGAGGCAGGAGACTCGCTTGAG